ATTTGATATATACGATCCTAAATGCGACGTGATAAACCTTTACGATATGATTAATGATCGGAGAATAAAAACATCACAAGAGAGTGTGCTAACTATTAAATATTAAGAATTTTCGATATAGGCACACCACATATTCACTTAATAAGCGAGAGCAGAAAATGTATACAAGATTCAAAAAGTTCAAACATGTAGATAAGTTAACTAATATAAATAATAAAATGAACTTCACCGGCCAACTGGCCGGGTAAAAAACTAGTTAGTATAGTGAGTCATATCTTCTTTGCTCCAAATCTTTTATCCAATTGCTTATTAATTTTTTTTCTCCATATTGGATCAAGGGTGGAGGTAACCCGTGGTTGAATATGGATCTCCAAATTCTCAAACTGCTCAGATGAGAATTATTGAATATGAGGGATTTGTTGGCGATGACTTGCCCAAGCTCTATACTTGTTAACATTGGTCCGGTCAAGGCGTTGATCCTAAATGATATGACACTGTTTCCCAATCACACATCAATGATGAGTTTTTTTTGAAATGTTGCATGACAGAATGAATGCACAAGTGAAGCAGGGTCAGGAACAACGAATCTCTTTATGATAAACAGATTCATTTTGCAAGTTCGTTTGTTTTTTAATGTTAGAAAAAGAACATATTGAAGAGAATGAATAAATATTTGAGAGTGGGATATATTATTGTAGGATGATAACTTTTCAAGATCTTCCAATCTGCAAACCGCTCCCCCCCCCCCCCCCCGTCCAAAATAAATTTTATTTACTACCCCAAACTAGAAATTTTTTGATTTCGCAAAACTTTGGACCATCATAACTTTGTGCTTCCTAATCCGATTATCATAAACGTTTTTTATTTTGCATAATTTGTGAAGGAGTACAACTTTTACTAGGAAGAAATTTTCAAAATAAGGAGTATATTTAGATATAAGGCACGACGGGGCTGAAGTGGAAAAATTCATAAACTTAAAGGGACTTCAACAGAAAAACAATATAGTTGAAAGGCTTCAATAGGAAGCAAGTAATAGTTTAGGGTCCATGTTGTGTATTAACTCTATTTGAAACAAACATAGCCTCACTTTTTTACTAACCATGAATGACTTTTTGCATCGACAATAAGATATTTGGGTTAGAGGTTGAATGAGCACTATGGAGTTGGAGTATTTGTGGTTGGGAAAACATTGTCCTACATTCCATACCCCTTGCTAATCTCCTTAATCCCATGAGCCATAGCCTACTACCTCGTGGGACTTCAGCAAGGCATCGAACACTTCACCTTATTTACCCTTTTGCTATTCGTCACAATGATGCAAGTAGAGAGCCTCATAATGATGGTGGTGAGCATCGTGCATGATTTCTTGAAGGGGATCATAACATGAGCTGAAATTCTAGGTGTGATGATGCTAAATGGAGGTTTCTTCAGGTTACCCCATGAGTATTTATTAGTTATGGTGGTGCTCCCATCTCCTAGCACACCAAGAAACCGAAAGTGGTAGCTCAATCCTCAGCTGAAGTTGAGTACCGTGTCATGGCCAGTATTGTCAGCAAAATTATTTGGCTTCGTTGGCTTCTTCATGAACTCGGTGTCTCGCAGTCTGGTCCTACTGCATAACACAGTGACAACCAAGCAATGCTTCATATCACGAGTAATCTAGTGTTCCACAGACATATCAAGCATGTGGAGATGGATTGCTATTATGTTCGAGAACGTGTCCAATCCGGTCACATTCAGTCCATCAAGGTAAGTTCTACACTTCAACTGGCCGACCTCCTTACCAAAGTACTAGGCGCCGATAGGTTTCAGTTTCTACTCTCCAAGCTGTTTGTTCGAGATCTTTATGTTGCAGCTTACTGGGGAGTATTGGGTTGAGTTGTGGATGTTGCATACTTGGTCGTCGAGCCTATGAAGGAGCAGCCCATGTTGTCGCTGACCATGCAGCTTACGTTGAGCAGATGTCCCAAAGCCCCATACCTTATGCGATTAGCTCTACTGATGTAACCCTAGGTGAATGTACATTAGGGTATAAAAAGGCTTGCTTGTTAGTAAGTTGCATCAATCAATAATAATCAACCTCTTCCCGTGGATGTAAGCCTCGCAACGTGAGGAAGAACCATGTAAATCAGAGTCTCGTTTTACTTTCGTTGCAATTTTACAGCCCCCGAATATGTCCACCTTAGGGGGTTGTTTGGAGGTTGTGATTCTCTTAATTGAAGTATTTAATCAATTTGTGTATTGTAATTTGATGTATTGATGAAATGTATGAATTTGAAAAATACTTTGTTTGTAGGTTCAGATTGTGCTTTGTTATAAATAAAAAGGTAGAGGGTAGACAATCCCTTGGTTACAATCTCACCTTTTGGTAGAGATTGATAATATCACTCATTTTGAGTGATTGTAGGTGGGCCCATAAAAACGTAATACATGTCTTCTTTCACACATTTAACCAAAAAACGATCGACTTAATCTTGACATTACATGCATTGGCTAAATACATCACTTGAAAACCCAACCTCCAAACGACCCAAGTTGAAAGTCAACCATATATTATAAGTTAAACTTCCATATGATCAATTGATTGTTGGGTACGATGAAGCATTAAGTTTGTTTGTTAATACTAGGGATAGTCATGAATCAAGTTTCTCATGTCCATATTCAAGATACATATATTGATTTTAAAATCCTGTTTACGTTCTAAAATACCTCTATAAATCCTTAACGATTATCTATAACAAATGATTGAAAATGATCTTCTAGAGAATATGAAAGTTGAAGAGCTAATAAATAATTTTATTCAATGTAATGATTATTTTTATTATACCATGAAAAATTACGCTACACATCGATTCTGAAACATGGCCTCCAAAGTTTTTTGGACAACGACCCTATATTCAGGGAAGTCCCCTTAGTCACTTGACTAAGTCAATCTCAGCCATACAGCCTCATTAAAATCTGATGGTTCTAATTTATCTAGTTTAATGAAGGACAAGATTGTAATTACATATTTTATTTATTTAAAAATTAAATTAAAATAATAATAAAATATTCACCCTCCCGTCGCGGTCCTTTTTGGGAATTCTTCCGTCGACGTGGCAGCGCGAGTCCGCTGGCGGCAGCACGAGTCCGGCGGCATGGCAACGCGAGTCCGGCGGCGTGGTCCTCTCCCGGGGATTTTTATTCTCACCAGAGGGGGATTTATATCCCAACAGAGAGCTTTCATGGGGATTGCCATTTTCCTGGGGATGAGAGAGAGAGAGAGTTTTCCGGCGACAGGAGGAAATTTCCCTGCCACAGTGTTGGATTTGTGATGTTTGTTGACCTATTTTGTAATGTTTGTATAAATTCGGTTTGTATTGTTTGTCACTTTTAGTGACATTTTGTACGGTTAGTATGTTTTGTACTGTTTGTCGATTTATTTTTTAATGTTTGTACGCTTTGTTATTTTGTAATGTTTGTCGGGTTTTTTTTTTGTAATGTTTGTAAACTTTGTTATTTTTGTGCACCATGTTTATCATTTTTGTCAACCTTGTTTGTAATGTTTTTTATGTCTAAAAAACAACCTGGTTGACTTTTGGATGGAACTCCTCTATATAGGGATGGATCCTCCAAAGTCAACCCCGGTGTTTTTTCCAGTTCGTATGGATTATCGGTCTAGTTTGTCATTTTTGTCCACCATGTTAGTAATGTTTGTATGTCTAAAAAACAACCGGGTTGACTTTGAGACGGAGCCCTCTATATAAGGATGAAGCCTCCAAAGTCAACCCGAGTGTTTTTCCAGTTTGTATGAATTTTTGGTCTAGTTTGTCATTTTTGTCCACCATGTTTGTATGTCTAAAAAACACCCGGGTTGGCTTTGGGAAGGAGCCCCTCTATATAGGGATGGAGCCTCCAAAGTCAACCCGGTTGTTTTTTGTTTGTCGGTCTAGTTTGTATTGTTTGTACAGTTCATACGTTTGTAATGTTTGTAAATCTTTTTTGTATGTTTTGTCGTTGTAGTTTGTACTGTTTGTATGTTTTATGGTTTGTACTTATTGCAAGTCCGGTTTGTATACTTCGCAATTTTTCATAATACCAAACTACCCCTGTCATTAATTAAATAGCACTTCCCACTTTTTAACCATCAAATTGCTATATCCAGATCTAAAGGCTGGGAGGGGCTTAGTCAAGTGATTAAGCACCCCTAGTCACCGGATCCTCTCTCGAAGTCATGGCCCCTCTCAACTTTCATGCTAGAGTTAAAACCACATATAATACTTCCAAAACTTTGGAAAAAACAGTTAAATGGTCAAGGCATTGACCCCCTTATCCCGATTCAAATCTCATTATTCTCATCATCTTCTTCTCCCCTTCCCAGCTACACAAATTTATGGTTCCAACTTCCAACACTAGCAGTTGGTCAATTGAATCCTCGTCCAATGCTCAAATCACAGAAGAATCAAGTCGTCAAAACCAATCTCTTAACCACATGTGATTTTCAATCAAGAGAGAGAAGATTAGACATTTGTGTTCAACAAAGCTTCTTTCCCAACTCGTCAACACTCCCGGCCGATACTCCAATCAAATTTGCCAAAGCTGGAGACATGTCATACAAGTATTTACGTCCTAACCTCAATGAAACCAAGTTTCGTCTTCCCTTGCCTTATTAGATCCCTTCTTTCCCTAACCCACCAAAACAAAGTTCTCACTCTCAATTACAAGACAAGAAAAAGAACCTTAATCAACCCAAAAAAAAAAGGAAAGTTTCCGGACCAAATTCACAGCACTGTCACATTAATCCAACTATCTATATGTACTCGAATTCCTGACATGCCTTTCATCAACCAACCAAATTCATTTCATCCAATTTGTCATCATTTCCTCCCAATTCCAAACTAAAAAAATCCCGAGAACAAGAAGGTAACTAGCACAAACAGAGATCGAAGAAGGACAGACAGAAGAAAAATAAGATGGTGGGCATGAGAGCTGAAGACGACAAACATGCCTCACCACCGGAAATGGCGGTGATCATAAACTCCAGCTGCGGCGGCGGCGGCGAGGACAGCGAGGTGCACAGAGTTTGTCTGCCCCCGAAGAGAACGACGATGGAGAAGCTGAAGCAGAGAGTGGGAGAGATCTTCTTCCCTGACGACCCGCTTCACAAGTTCAAGAACCAGACATTACCCAAGAAGCTCCTTCTAGGACTCCAGTTCTTGGTTCCGGTGTTCGAGTGGGGGCCTCAGTACAACTTGAAGCTGTTGAGGTCCGACGTCGTCTCCGGTCTCACCATTGCCAGCCTCGCCATCCCACAGGTACAAAATACTCTATCACTAACCATTTCGTTATAACTTTTGGTACGGTATAGTTCTCTAACTTGCTACATTCTTTGGACGTGCAGGGAATCAGCTACGCAAAACTGGCGAAATTGCCACCAATCATTGGCTTATGTAAGAATGCATACCAACATACACACAAAAAACCCAATTAAGTTCCTCCATTGTTTCGTTGTCGTTCAATTTGACTGATGGGGATTTTGCAGACTCGAGCTTCGTGCCGCCGATGATCTACGCGTTGCTGGGCAGCTCGAGGCACCTGGCAGTTGGGCCGGTGTCGATAGCGTCGCTAGTGATGGGCTCAATGCTGACCCAAGAAGTCTCTGCAACAGAGGATCCGACTCTGTACCTGAAACTTGCCTTCACGGCCACGTTCTTCGCGGGCCTGTTCCAGGCTTCACTGGGCCTGCTGAGGTTAGGGTTCGTGATCGATTTCCTGTCCAAGGCGACGCTGGTGGGGTTCACGGCGGGCGCCGCCGTGGTGGTGTCGCTTCAGCAGCTGAAAGGGCTGCTCGGAATCGTCACGTTCACGACCAAGATGGAGATCGTCCCTGTGATTTCCTCTGTTTTCCACAGCAGGGATGAAGTGAGTCATCAAAACCAAAAACCCATTATTCAAAATCTTCTTTTATTTTTGATTGGATTATTGATGGTGGCTGAAATGTTACGTTGTTATTGTGGCAGTGGTCGGGGCCTACAATTATGATGGGAGTACTCTTCCTGATGATTCTGTTGTCCACCAGACACATCGTAAGATTTCGCTCATCGAATTTGACTATTTATCGATACGAGAAGTTCGTGTTTACGCATATTTAATCGTCTTATTGAGAATTAGAGCAATTAGTTATTTTTCATACCTTTAAATATGGTCCTGAGTATTCCATTGTACATTGGCATCTTGGGGGCATCGAAAATAGTACGACGACTGAGTGTATCAAAACCGTCCTATTATTGATTCAATGACTCAAAATGTATAAACACGTGATTACGGATTACCAAGCCGGATTGCTGATTACTTGTATTTTTGTCCTTGTTTTCAATCAATTCATTAACAACTTGAGGGGAAAACACATTAATCTGCAGAGCATGAAGAATCCCAAGCTGTTCTGGGTGTCCGCAGCAGCACCGTTGACGTCTGTGATCGCAGCCACACTTGCCAGTTTCATGTTCAGCTCAAAGCTCCACGGCGTCAAAATCGTAAGGATTCTTTCCAAAGCTTCATGTCCATCGTAAATCCATACTTTTCTAAAATCCAAGTTTTAATCAAAATCTTCATTTTCTAAATCCACGAAGCAAACGATCCCTACGGTTTCCTGACGAAATGATTACAAAACATCACTATATCAGATTGGTCATCTCCCAAAGGGACTGAACCCACCATCCATGGACATGCTCCTCTTCAGCTCCTCCCACCTCGCCGTCGCCATAAAAACCGGCATCGTTACCGGAATCCTGTCCCTGACGGAAGGAATCGCAGTGGGGACCACATTCGCCTCCCTAGCCAACTACCCGGTCGACGGCAACAAGGAAATGATGGCGATCGGGGCAATGAACATGGTCGGATCCTGCACCTCCTGCTACGTCACCACGGGCTCATTCTCCCGCTCCGCCGTCAACTACAACGCCGGAGCCAAGACCGCCGTGTCCAACACCGTCATGGCCGCCGCCGTCCTCGTCACGCTCCTCTTCCTCATGCCCCTCTTCCACTACACCCCGGAGGTCATCCTCGCCGCCATCATCATCACCGCCGTCATCGGCCTCGTCGACTACCGGGCCGCGGGACGGCTCTGGAAGGTCGACAAGCTGGACTTCGCCGCGTGCCTCTGCTCGTTCGTCGGCGTGGTGTTCGTGTCGGTGCCCGTGGGGCTGTCGGTGGCGGTCGGGGTGTCGATGTTCAAGGTTTTGTTGCATGTGACGCGGCCGAACGCGGTGGTGCTGGGGAATCTTCCCGGGACGCAGATTTATCAGAGCGTGCAGAGGTACGGAGAGGCAGAGAGGGTGGCTTCGTTTCTGATTGTGGCGGTTGAGTCGCCGATCTACTTCGCCAATTCCACTTATCTCAAAGAAAGGTAATTAGCAGCCGAACTCATTGCAATAATCAGCCATTTGAGTATATTATGCTATATTAGGACTATTTTTATATAATTTAATAGAGTTATATATTTTTTATTATTATAGTAGTAGACGTTGAGTATATTTTTGGTGCTGGCTATTAAATCACAAATCATTTATTTAATCGGCTCAACTACTTAAATTGGTTTGACAATCTTGATATTTTCTTTATTAGTATTGAATTATTATAGAAGTTTGTCATTATACTCTCTATAATTTGTAAACATCATTGTGAAAACACATAAGTTTAATAATAAATATAACTATGCCAAATTATATAATAATACTCGTTGTGTAACATAATACTACTAGTACGACGTATCATATTAGTCGTGATTCACTCTCATTGGGGTTTTGAGTGCAGGATAATGAGGTGCATAAGGGAGGAGGAGGAGTTGATAGAGGCGAACAAGGAGACGGCGGGGCTGAAGTACGTGGTGGTGGACATGACGGCGGTGAGCGCCATCGACACGAGCGGGATCGAGCTGCTGTGCGAGGTGAGGAAGACGCTGGAAGGGAGGTCGCTGCAGCTGGTGCTGGCGAACCCGGGCGGGACGGTGATGGAGAAGCTGCATCTGTCCAAGTCGCTGCAGTTGTTTGGGTCCAACGGGCTGTTCATCTCCGTCGGAGAAGCCGTCGCTCACATTTCATCCCTCTCCAAGGCTCACCGTGAGGTCATTTGAGATGATCCCGGCACATATATATATGTTTGTTCATTTGTTTGTAATTAATAATTCAAATATATTTTTTTTTTTTTGGCATGCGGGTCGATTTGTTGTCTGTAAAGATTCATAAAGAAAGTCTATAGAGGTTATTTGATTTATTAGTGTAATGAAATGTTGTTGTATTATACATGAAGATTAATATCCAATACAAACAAAAAATGATTACATGAAATGAAAAATGGAATTACGAATGGTTTGAATAATAACTTCGTACACATTTTTCCTTTTGAGTTGTTAATAGCAAGGATTGTAAAATCCTATCTGAGGGTTGGAGCAACGTGTCAAGCATGTTTTAACCATGATTTAACTATGATCTTAGCTCAAAATATTTTAATGCTAACTTGTCTCGTACGATCATCGATATGATTTTCCACTTTTTTGTTTTTTTTCTGAACATAAATCTCCAGAAGGCTGTGAAGTTGTCTCAATGGGGAATGTGACAGCAGCGGGTCTTATCTCTCCCATGAGGAACATATAATTTATATGAATGGGATTAGCGAGGGGTTTACGATCGTGTATGGAGTCTTGATGATTTGCAACTTTTAACTCGTTGAGGGAGCTTTTGTTTTAACTTATGGAGAAAAGAAGGCCGCAAAAGGAAAACAATTGTGCTTTGATAATGGAGGAATTTTACAATGCTATATAGAATTGGTGCTATAGGTTTTTACTTTTATGGTACAACTTTAAATTGTACTTTTAACGTTATGGTACAACTTCAAATTGTGCCTATACTTTCTCTACAAATTCTTTTATGGTACAACTTAAACTTGTACCTTATGTGATGGTACAACTTCAAGTTGTAAAGTTGTACCATAACATAATGATACAAATTCTTTTATGGTACAACCTAAACTTATACATTTAATGTTATGGTACAACTTCAAGTTGTACATTAAAGCACCAATGCTATATAGGATAGTAGAAGTGCTCTTGATAATTACTTGCTTTAGGAGAAGTAGAGATATCAAAATTAGTTATACATGAGAAAAAGCCACCGCAAACACACAGGTGAAGGAGGTGGTGCGGGTGATCGAAGGAAATAAAGATAAAAGTGACGGTGGTGTATATTAGAATAACTCTAATGAAACAGTAATCCACTTGTATATTTAATAATAAGTAAGTATTAAGATAGTCACAATCTATGCAGTCAAAATCGCGCTTTAAAACTTAAAAACTTATGCTTTTACCTTTTTGGGTCACCAAAACGCTTCTACGTAGAATTGTGATTTTTACTTACAAATGTAGTCAAAATCTACGTTTTAAAACTTAAAAGCTTACGATTTTACGCTTCTAGGTCACCCAACCAATTCTAGGTAGAATCGCGCTTTTGACTGCATTGGTCACAATTATCAAACAAGTCAAAGTGCTCTGGAACGATAACTGTACCGAGAGTTTTTCACCCAAAAGAGGCCTTCGTCAGGGTAGCCAATTGTCAACATACATTATCACCTTTGTATAGAGCGCCTCAGCCACATCATTGAGGCAACGGTCAACAAGGGTTATTGGAAGCAAATGTGTACATATCCCGGTAACCCCTGCTTATCAAACTGAGTCTTAATTATACTTATAAATTCAATAGCAATGGTTAACAAGTCAGATTTATGGAGCAAAAAGTACACGCAACTATATCCAGTAGAATGATCAACAAACAACCAAAATACTTATAGCCATGTCGAGAAGTAATTGGACTAGGATCCTAGAGGTCTGTATGAATAAGATGGAAGGGTTTCATAATAACAGTCTAACTCGAGGGAAAGGATATGCGAGTCGTCTTTGCTTCCACACAACTTGTGCACTAAAAATCAGAAGTTTGTCCAACTTATTTTTTCCATACAAATTCTGCCAAAACATGGCTACAAGTCTACTAGAGCTAACTGTTATAAACGCGCTGCTACGGATCGGGAAATTGCCGGAATCGACAAAGCAAGAATACGAAAGCGAGAATCGAAAACACGACACACGATTTACGTGGTTCACTAACACGATGTGTGTTAGCTACGTCCACGGGCGAGAGAGAGCCGATTTCACTATATCGAGGAGATTACAGATTACAGAGGAGTATGAGAAGTATTTATAGTACTTCTCCATGTGGGTCTAAACCTAATCCAATCAAGCAAAGGAAACGGTTACAGACCAGGCCCAGAACCCGAACCCAAATAACATTGATCCCATACACCGTGGGCCGGGGGCGTTGCCCCCGCACCCCCATCGGGGCGTTGCCCCTGGACCCCACTCGCTGACCGGGTAGCGAGACCCCCGATTACCAGTCGTAGCGGCTGATAGTCCGATTCAAGTCATATCAACACTAACAAGAGCCATCCTGGAATGCCACAATTTAATAGTTTGATCATCCAAACTCGAAAAACCAGGAACAAAAGAACAAGATACCATAGACACCAAAGATTGAACTGATGGGCACGAGAATGAAAACAATGATGTTGATGGCATTACTTGAGATGATCAAGATGAAAAATACGTTTGTGTTTACTCTCTCGACTGTTCTCATGCCCGGTCTTCAGATCCTGAACATCACAACCAGAGGATGCAAAAACAACATGATAACCTTGTTCAGTTAACTGACCAACCAATACTAAACTGGGAACTAGGCTTGGCACATGTAAGGTTAACTCGATGATTTTTACTGACCCAATCCCATTCAACTTGTTCCCATAACTACTTGCAAAGATAATCTTGTGATTTTGGGAGAATATTAGAAATATTCGCGACATTATTCGTCATATGATTAAAGTAAGCAAAATCAAGAATCCATTTTGCGTGTGGCCTTAGCATGAAAATGATTTTCGGTATGCAGCATATGCCTGATTGGTAGCTGAATGTTTGTTGTAGAGCCCCCTTCAGCTGGAGCTAGACAAGCAAAACGAGTCTCTTGAATCCCTATGCCCGGAGAGTTGTTCCTAGCTGTGGTATAAAAAATATTACCATTACTCCCTCAAGGCAAGCATCAATTGGGTATCTTCATGAACAATTAACCAAAGGCTCCCTCGACTGTTAGTTGTTCACCATTAAGGAGATTGGAGTGTACAACTTCATACTCTAGCCTAAGTTTGGACAGAAATTGAAGAAGCTGGATTTTATTCTTCTCGACTTAGATATCTTCGGATATGGGGACAATCAAGAGAGTTTCCAACAAAAGATCTTGATCTATCCAAAAAAGTCGAGATGCATTGATGGAGGAGGCTACATTCAGGTTACCTGGGTGAAGATTAGCAAGTTTTAATTTGCGCTCAAAACTGACGTGACTCGTTGTAGAAAATATACAGACAAAGACTTCCACATAGCTGTTGGCGTCGGCAACATTCAGAATCCTAAGACACTCGAAGAATCAACGGATTTCATTATCCAGAAATGGATATGAGTATCATTTTGTATCAACTTAGATTGATCCTACTCTGATGCAGGTGGAACGGTAGACCTTTTCAAAGAGCCATCGAGCAAACCAGTGAAACCATGGCCTTCGCAAAAGAGCGGAACTGAAACTTCCTAAGAGGAAATTTGTTCGAGTTGGGAAGAGCGGTGATGTGTTCGAACTCCATCGAACCATGTTAAGTTTACGAAACATAGAAGAAAATGACACTGAATTTACGTGGTTTACTCGTTCAGAATGAACGAGACTAGTCTGATATGATCCCACTTGGATCAATCCACAATTCACAATTACTTGCCAAAGAAGTCATCTCAATTAACTTGAAGCATTCTGATTTTTGGCTAAGTGTTGAAACAGTTTCAGGTAGCCTACTTTGGAAACTTGTATCTCACAAATGGCTCAATGGAAATTGGAGATCAAGGGTTTGTTTTGCAGATAAAGTTGCCATGTTTCCAATGGTATGCTTTTTGGATCCAGATGATGTCATTAAGGTTGTTTTCCAAGGTCTCAAAGTTGCTACCTTAAAACTGGAAACTGCCAGAAAATGGCCAAGGCAGAAAACTGTTTTGTGAAGCCTACTTTGGAGCTCAATTCGAGGAGTATGGATCTGATTCAAGTCCAAAGCCTTCCACAAAATAAAACTAGGTATGTTTATGTACAGAGGGAAGGAATTGGATGAAGGATTGGAGTTCTGGAAGGCCTCAAACAAAAGGCGCGAAGTTAGTACGAAAGCTGGCTTTTGACTGTTTTGCGGATAGCTTACTTGTGCTTCAAGAAAGGGATTTTAAACCCGAATTTTGTGTCCTTTTTAGTGTAGACTTTTACCTTAATTGTTGCCTAGTTCTATTAGGATTGTATTAGGTTTTATTTGCCTTTAAATACCGTTCTATTTACGTTGTAAAAACAGAAGACTTTGATTAATCGAAAAACAAACCCTTTGGTTTTGTGCAATTTGCGACTTGTTTGAGTTTGGTGGATTCCAAGCTTGTGAGCTTTGTATCGATTGAATATCCTCTTCAATCGTGGTCGAGCAACTATCATTTTATACCATACGAGCTTTCCCCAGGTGTGGAATTGTCCGTTGGTTCCGTTTTATCCAAATTTCGTATTAAGAACGCGTTGTTCTTGATTCGAGTTCAATCAATCTTCGGATTGATTGTTTGCTGCGTGACTTTGATAAAAATACACCCCCCAGGGGCGTATTAATAGTCCATGATCGAAGCGGTAAAAACTCTTATTATCTTGTATTCGTACAATCTGCACACATATTTATATGGGCCAAAAACTCGTAACCACTAGTCCTATCCAACACGGCAAAGAAAACATTCTCCAAGTTTCAAATGTAAAAGGACTATAAATAGGGATGGCAATTTCGACCTGACCCGTTTTACCTTACCTGTTTGGCCTGTTTTGGGCCGGGGCGGGCATGGGTACTCTCATCGACCCGACCTGCCCTGACCCGCCCCATTCTCGGCCCGTTTTTGTCTAAATTACATGTAAGTTGAGTCAAACTACTTAGGATTTTCCTTTTATTACATCATATTTTAGTTATAATAAAGTTTTAAATTAGACA